CCCACAAGACATACTGACGTGAACCTGTTTGTATATTTAGGGATGAACACGGAAAAATATCTAAAAAGAGATCCATTATGTTGACAGTAGGTATTTTGTGCTACTGAGATTATGGTATTTATTTATTTATATTCCTTTTTTTTTTTTCAGAATTTTCTACTGTATGTCTTATATAATAAAGAAAAGCTTTCAAGTACTGTACAAACACAAGTTTACAAGCACTTTTATTTATTTATTTTAAAAGTTTTTATTTAAATTTCAGTTCATTAATATACAGTGTAAAATTAGTTTCAAGTGTACAATATAGTGATTCAGCACCTCCATAAGTCACCCGGTGCTCATCGTGACAAGTGCCCTCCTTCATCCCCATCGCCTATTTCCCCCATCTCCCTGCCCACCTCCCCTCTGTAACCATGAGTTTGTTTTCTATAGTTAAGAGTCTGTTTCTTGGTTTGCCTCTCTCGCGCTTTTTTCCCCTATGCTCCTTTGTTTTGTTTCTTAACTTCTACGTGAGTGAAATCATATGGTATTTGTCTTTCTCTGACTGACTTATTCCGTACAAGCGCTTTTAAAGGGAAGTCACATGGCTAGATGCAATCTGGAAGTCAGAAGATCTAGCTCAAAATTGCTTAACTTCTTACCCTTAATATCCAAACTTAGTGCCTCCGTTTGCAAAATTTTGGGACTAATACCACATGGAAACTAAAATGTTGTGGTTTAAATAAGAGAGGGCTTTTGATTCAAATCAAGTATACATAGGATTCCTTATGTAGTCATCCCTCTGATACCCATTCTTCAGCAGCTCCTCCGTTGTACAAAGTAGATTGTTATCAGACTGAGTTTTTCCAGATAATCCCATCTCTGTCACCCATGTTCTCCTGTCTCCTGACCTGGGTCAAATTCTCTAACTTCCATTTTATGAATTTTGTCTAGTGGCCCTTTAGTTATCTATAACTGTGAATTCTAATTACACATAATCCTAATGTTTTCATTTGGTGCTTGGGGGCTATCTTTAAGGAGTCTGAGATTTTTCTGCTGCCGAAGAACAGCAAAAACACAAACTTAATGTGTACAGTGGTATTGTATGTAGCACCCCTCTACATGATTGTAGCCAACACTCAATAAGCACACCTTATGAGAATTCACAATACAACTTTCCAAACGCAATTTATTTTTTTTATTTTTTAAAGATTTTATTTATTTATTTGACAGAGAGACACAGTGAGAGCAGGAACATAAGGAGGGGAAGTGGGAGAGGGAGGAGCAGGCTTCCTGCTGAGCAGGGAGCCCGATGCGGGGCTCTATCCCAGGACCTTGGGATCATGACCTGAGCCGAAGGCAGACGCTTAACGACTGAGCCACCCAGGCGCCCCGTCTAAATGCAATTTAGAAATGAATTAATTCCCATACAAAAGACTTCTTTACCAGAAACACATTCAAGGGATCCTTTTAAAAAGCAAACTTCCATTGCACGTAGTTAAAGAATCATAGGCCTCTGTGGATCATTTAGGATCAACTTGACAAACTGAGACGTGAAGTGTCCATTTCAAGGGCATGATAACATTGTTGCTTTCACGTAATGTTTTCATCCAGTGGCATCCACACAGGGTGTAATAAAGAATGAGGAAGTTCTATAGGAGCTGGAATGGAGAGATCTTTGGAATAGGGAGTTAAGTGCAGAAAGAAAGATGCAAGCTGATCAATGTTAGTCCCCTACACGTAGAGGGAGCAGACAATTGTGGCAGGATCTGAGACACACAGCACCCGCTGTGATGCACTCTTGCCAAAAAGTCAAACTGAATCTAACCAAACTTCTAGAGCTAAGTTTCGTTTATAGGAAACACACAGAAAAGACGAATAATTTATTTATTTATTTATTTTAAAAGATTTTATTCATTTATTTGACAAAGAGAGAGAGAGGGAGAGTACAAGTAGGCAGAGAGGCAAGCAGAGGGTGAGGGAGAAGCAGACTCCCCGCCGAGCAGGGAGCCCGATGCGGGGCTCGATCCCAGGACCCTGGGATCATGACCTGAGCCGAAGGCAGACGCTCAATGACTGAGCCACCCAGGCGCCCCCAGAAAGGAGGAATAATTTAAATGACCCCACAAGGAAGCCGGCAAACCCAGAATGTGGAACATTCTGCAGAAGAACTGGTTTGTATAACCCGTCAGTGGTGGGGGGAATGGAGGGAAGATTGTCCTAGATGAAGATACTAAAAAGACAGAACAACCGAATGCAATGTAGGGACCTTGTTTGGGTCTGGATATAAACAAACGTATGGTAAAAGGGTATTTTTGAGATAATCAGGGAAAATTTGATTATGGACTGAAGAATTAGGTGCTAAGACATCATTATTAATTTGGTCATGTGTGATAATGGTATTGTGGTTATGCAGCAGAATGTCCACTTTTTTTTTTTTAAAGATTTTATTTATTTATTTGACAGAGAGAGCAAGAACAAGAGAGCACAAGCAGGGGCAGCAGCAGAGGGAGAGGGAGAAGCAAGCTCCACACAGCATGGAGCCCGAAGTCGGGCTTGATCCCAGGACCCTGGGATCACGACCTGAGCCGAAGGCAGGCCCTTAATCGATTGAGCCACCCAGGCGCCCCCAGAATGTCCACTTTCAAAAACCAAAATGCACACCGAAGTCTGTAAGTGTGAAAAAACATGATTTGGGATTCATTTTAAAATAGAAGTTGATAATTTTGAATCTGTGTTTTGGGAACTCATACTTTTCTCTCTGCTTTTGTGTATGTCAAAGAAGTTTATTTTTTATAAAACAGTAAATAGAAAATGTAAGGTGCAACAGGGATATACAATTTGTCTCAGAAAGGAGGGAATGAGAATATATATTTTATTTTCTTGTGTTTGCGTTGGGGGTATACACAAGAGACTTAGGAAAACAGAAACCTACAGGGTGGGTGGGGGAAATTGGTAGACTTGGGGGGCGGTGGGAAAAGGCTTGTTCATAAAGCTTTGATATTGCTTTGAATTTTAGCCATTTGGATGAATTATCTAAACAGTTGGGTTTTTTTTTAAGAAACAAATAAAAGTTAAATAAACATGAAAATGCTCCAAAACAGCTCCCTATACAAAGAAAAAAAAAAAGAGAAGGGGTTTAGAGTAGATTTCTAGGCTCCTTTTGTCTAGACTTCAATAAATTAATAAATTGTTAATATTTTCTAAAGCTGGTTCCAGTAGTAACTCTAGAGATGGACAGAAAACAGAGTAATAACAATAAAAAACAAAACAGAAAAAAATAAAAGAAAAAGAAAAAACAGAACACAGAATTTGAGGGCTGAAACTTTTAAGAGTGTTGCCTGAGGTCATGCAGTAAACATGACCTCTGACCCCATGTTTAATACATTCTGCCTTCCCCTTGAACATGGATATTTGCTGGTTGTTATTAGTTAAGTAGGCAGATGTATTAAGGGCGAATATGAAATTCATAAAACAGTTTATAGTGGAAAAGAATCTGGAGCTTGGGGGACTCAGTTCTCATTTGAAATTACCAATCATATGCCTTTGGGGCAGATCAACCTTATCAGGTCTCAGTTTCTCTATCCATAGGACGAAGAAATTGACTGCGATCTCTCCAGTAATGTCTATGTCTCTGATGTTAGGGAAGTACACACATAGGAAGAGAGCTGGATATTTACATTAAATGCATTTAGTGCCATAAAGATGAGAGACAAGGAAGTTCAGCAAGAAAGATGGAGGAGGGCCACAGGGCTTTCAGAAACTATTTAGTCTCTGAGCTCACTTTTGTAAAGAGCCATTGGCTTTTAAGTTTCCCAGACAAATGTCACTCTCCCAGGGCTGAGACTGTTGGGGTCTGAGATGTTACCTCCGTGATGGAAAGTGTGGCCGGAACTCCACACTTTCTGACAATTCATGCCCGAAGCCTCTGGGGTGGGAGGCAAGGGGACATCTTGGGTACAGGAGATGAAATAGAATATTGAGGTCCTTTCAATATCCCCCCACGGTGGAGGAAAAGAAACATTGCAGAAAGGAATGTGTCTTTCTTAAGTGGAAGGGTTTGAAAGTTCAGGTCCAAGTCAGAATATTAGAGCAGGGAGCTGCGCCTATGTCACCGAACACAATTTCCTCATTTTATACATTTTATAAATGAAGGAACCGAAATCCAGCAAGGTTATATGACACAGCCCAATTTGTGTCAGTACAAGGCAAGGAATGAAGCTCAGGAATGGAGTGGAAAGGGCCCATAAATGTGACGATAAGGAAGATGCCATTCATCCTGGTATTCTCCAGCTCCCTGTCCCGTTCCTGACACACAGTAGCTACGAGCTTCATTAACATTGGTCACGTGACCAGCCAACAGCCTGATCTGACCGAATGAACGCATGGATGCTATGTTCCTACCTTATGTTCCCTGGTAACCAGCTGGACCCACACACCATCCATTTCACACAGAGGATTATTTCATTGGAGGTGTTAAGAGGCCTCTCTCTACTTGCTGAGAGTTTTCTTTCTTTTTTTTTTTTTTAGAGAGAGAGAGAGTGAGAGAGAGAGCACAAGAGGGGGCAGGGTCAGAGGGAGAAGCAGACTCCCCACTGAGCAGGGAGTCCGATGCGGGACTCAATCCCAGGACTCCAGGATCATAACCTGAGCTGAAGGCAGTCACCCAACCAACTGAACCACCCAGGTGCCCCAGAGTTTTCTTGACTGAGATACACTTTGCTTCCTCTGAGCGTCACTTCCTCATCATTGATACTAAGGGTTAAATTCCAGAGACTGACAGGATGTCTGTGGTGTAGCATGACAGAGAACTGGGGTTTCCTTTGATGTAACTGTGTACTTGGCAGCAATAACAGAGGGAAGATTGGTAGTCAGATGCCCTGGTGTGCTGGGCCAGCAGTTGGGGATGGTGGCCGTAGCTCCTGTGATTGCAGAGGAGATTGGATTGCAAAAGCCACCCAGTTCCACTGGAGAATTAAAACTAAACAGAGCCATTATTTGACTTGGCCTCTTCCGAATCCATGGTTTCACCTCTTTGCTTTGACTGTGTCCTGGTGTGGCTGCTAGTACTCACAGGTAAGTCTGGGCACGGACTTTCACAATTGGATACTACAGGATAAAGGTACAAGGATGGTCATTGCAATGTTTGCAGTAGCAAGTTTGGAAACAACCTAAGTGCCCACCAGTGGGGGAGTAGGTGAGTAAGCTGTGATAGAGGCTGCAAACAGGGAGGCCGACTACACATAGAGATATGGAACGTCTCTGAGTCCAAATGTCAAATGAAAAAAGGTGCAGAAGGATGCGTATATTAGATTTTATTTGTGTATGTATGTTGCAGGAGTGGGAATACATGAGTGCTTCTTACTGTATGGACTCTGGGAAGGGGGACTGGAACACGGGAAGGAGGAGAGAGAGGGAGTATCCTTCTCATATACCTTTTATATGGTTTAAAGATTTTACTATATACATATGTTTATTAATATGTATATATAAAGGCAATTAACTTTAAACCTCAAAATAGCCTGAGTGGTTTCAAATACACAAGCTTCATATTCAGCCAATGGTTTTTATTCATTATGTGCCAAGTGCTTAAAAAAAATGAGAGAGGGGCGCCTGGGAGGCTCAGTCGGTTGAGCGTCTGACTTTGGCTCAGGTCACAGTCTCAGGGTCCTGGGATCGAGCCCCGCATCAGGCTCTCTGCTCAGCTGGGAGTCTGCTTCTCCCTCTCCCTCTGCCTGCCACTCCCCCTGCTTGTGTTCTCTCTCTGTCAAATAAATAAATAAAATCTTTAAAAAAATTTAAAAATTAAAAAAGAGAGAGAGAGAGAGATTTATGTCAGTTTAACTGCCTTTCTTCAATGAGCGGCCAACTAGCCCAGACCGCTGAGCTGTTTTACTGGCTGACAATGACTCATTTTCTGATTATCTATTTCCATCGGCCTTGCCCTCCAGTGTTCACAGGGCTGGACCACAATTCTCTCTTAGGGCATTGGTTTTCAAAGTGAGTTTCCAAGACCGGCCATCTCAACAGCTCCTGGGAACTTGCTAGAAATTCAAATTCTTTTACCCCACCCCAGACCTATTGAATCAGGATCTCTAGCAGTTGAGCCCAGCCATCTGTGTTTCAATACATCTTCCCAGTGATTCTGATGCTCCTCAAGTCTGAGAATCATTGTCATCATGAATCATCTTCCAAACAGGATGGCAGCACTGGTTTGCTTTTTATTCTATAAGGCATTACTTAACAGTTTTCTTGAAACCAACCAACCTCACTCATTGCCTGATCTTGCTCTCTTTCCCTGTCTATTTAGGGTCTTTGGAAGGGGTATACGTAGCTGAAGTGGGTCAGAATGCTGATATACCCTGCACCTACTCTCCAACCACTTCTGATGATCTTGTGCCTGTCTGCTGGGGCAGGGGACCCTGTCCTGTGTTTGAATGTCATAGTATGGTGCTCAGCACAGATGGAAGGAACTTGAAATATCAGACATCCAACAGATACCAGCTAAAGAGGAATATCCACAAAGGAGATGTGTCCTTGACTATAGAGAACGTGACTAAAGCAGACAGTGGGACCTATTGCTGCCGGATCCAATTCCCAGGCCCATTGAATGATAAAAAATTAAACCTGGAGTTGTTCGTCAAACCAGGTGAGTGGACCTTTGCATGCCTTCTTGAATAAAATCACCTGCAGGTAATAGTAAATATACTGCTTGGTCTCTCTTCTGATCTCCCCAGTTACAGCCGTGGGGGTGGGTCACTAAGACCTGAAGTTTAACATGTTCCACCAGCGATGGCTAGCCACTTTTAATTACCTTCATCTACTTTAAAACTCATGGACAGGATCTACAGAATGGGAGGAAAGTCAAGATTGGTGGTTCGAGAACCTGACTGCTCATTAGAATCACCTGGACAGTTTTTTAACACCTATAGCTCCTTGGTCCCTACCCACGAACCAGAGAAATGGCATCTCTGGAGGTAAAGCCCCAGCACTAGGATTTTCCAAAGTCTACCTTAAATGATTCTCCCCCCTGTGCAGCCAGGATTGGACAGTGTACAGGTGGGGTGCATGTGCTCACGCTTTTTAAGATTTATAGAGCATAGGGGTGCCTGAGTGGCTCAGTTGTTGAGCATCTGCCTTCAGCTCAGGTCATGATCCCAGGGTCTTGGGATGGAGCCCCACATCGGGCTCCCTGCTCCTTGGTAAGCCTGTTCTCCCTCTCCCACTCCCCCTGCTTGTGTTCCCTCTCTCGCTGTGTCTCTCTCTGTTAAATAAATAAATAAAATCTTAAAAAAAAAAAAAAAGATTTATAGAGCATATAGTGTGTGGCTGATGGAGCTGAGTTCAAATCCAACTTTGCCTTTTAACTATCTGTGTGATCTTGGGCAAGTTATCCAAACTCCGTGAACTCCTTCTCTATGAAATATGGTAATTCCTACCACGCAGGCCCCTGGAGGGATTTTACGAGGTGTTTTATGGAAAGCATTTAGCGTGGCCATTTGGGTGGCTGTTAGTTCTATTATTAACAATTAGACTGTGGCAATGATGACTGCAACACGCCTCTGCCCAACAATTTAAGAGTGTCGTACACTCTCAAGGAAGGTGTTCAGGTAGGTTTGGCAGTTGGGCATCTGCTTCTCTTCATTTGTCGCGTTTCCTATTTTTTCTGCTGCCCCTTTGATTCCCTGCCACAAGCTCTCTGCTCTCAGAGGAGCCGCATCCTTATGTTGGTTTCTGATATTAGCCAAGGTCACCTCTGCTCGGACTCCATGGAAGGACTTCACTGCAGCCTTTCCACGGACGCTCACCACCAAGGGACATGGTGCAGGTAATGATATGGGAAGTGTAGCAGGAAGCCCTCAGGTGTTTTCAGAGTTCGGAGGATTTTGAGTATGGGAAAGAGAGGAGAAAAGGGTTTGAGTGGAGGCGTGAATGTCCCTGGGCACCTGAGATGTGTGTGGGGAGGGGAGTGGTGGGGACAAACCTTTGCTGGGAAAAAGGGATCCTGAGCTAGGATTCAGAATTAGTCACAAGCAGCCCTGTGACCTGGCCGAAACCTTTCACTTCCCTGAATCTCTGCTTCTTGTTCTCTCCAAGGAGAGGGTTTAGAGACTTTGGATTTTGTAACCTAGTAAAATTCCCACTCCCCCCAAAACCAAAATTCTGGTGATCTACATATTTTGCCAAATAAGAAAATTGCATTAAAAAAGACATGTTTATAAATTAAATAAATTTAGTCTAATAAAAAACTCATTACATTGTCATTATTTTCCAATTGACTCCCAAACTGGGATGTTTGGGGCCCTGTGGACGCAACAAACCACATACTCAACAGAGGTCTTCCTGGCAGAGGTCTCCTTTTCATGGAACCTAAGTAGTTGGGTTCATTATCTGGTTAAAAAAAATATGGTCATCCTAAAATTGATTTGCAAGTGTTTAGAAAATTTTGTTCTCACAATAAATTATTGTGAAGAGTATAGAGTAAAATTAATTTCAAACAGGATTATAGGCATAGGCATCTTTAGGATTTTTTAAAAAGCCAGATAAAAGAAAACATTCTAAACTGTTCTTTTGGCTATTTTTTTTCTCTTTATGGCAGAGACACAGACACTGGAGGCCCTCCATGATAACCAACAAACAGTAAGGGACTTTGTGTGTGTGTGTGTGTGTGTGTGTGTTTATGTATGTGGGTGTGTGCGCTAACCTCATGCTCAACTCAGAGAAAAGAAAGTTCAGCTTTAGTCTTCCTTCTTGTTTGCTCTGTGCTTGGGGAAGAAAAAATGCCTTAATCTCCCTTAGCCTCAGAGGCCTTGGCTGTGACATGTTGATGATACCAGTTCTAACTGCATAGGCCTATTGTAAGGGTGAAATGAGGGGATGGAGGTAAAGTGCCCGGCACATGGTAAGTGCTGGGAAACCAAAATGAAGAAACACTACCCCCTTGTCCCTCTTCTCCTATTTCACAACTGTATGCCACTGTGGATGGTTCAAGGACCCTCCAGCTCCCTAGAGTATATTTCTTCTCATTTCCATGGCAACCCTAATGAGAAAGATTATTTAAATTTTTTATATGTGACAAGACACCAGTCAGGAATATTTTAAGCCAAGAATTTCTATATCCAACTATAAATAAATTAATATTTTAATTAACCACAAATTTAGTGTCTCCCACCTTTTCAGAATAAAAGGGAATCCCCTAGATAGCAAGCTTACAATAGCGACTTAGAGATTCTTTGGGGACATATCCAGGAGTCTGCCTTCATTTGACTAAGTCCCCTACTTGTGTGTCTACTACCGAGGCTCAGCACTTTGTATTTGTCCCTCCCCATCTCTGCGACCAAGGACTGACTCTAAGTACCTCTGGACATCCGTAGTGTTTAATGCGTAGTATCTTGCATATAGCACTCCTGCAGTAAATGTTTATTGAGTAAATGGAAGATTTAATTTCTTTGACATCTTTTTTTAAAAGATTTTATCTATTTATTTGAGAGAGAGAGAATGAGATAGAGATAGAGAGAGAGCATGAGGGGGGGAGGGTCAGAGGGAGAAGCAGACTCCCTGCTGAGCAGGAAGCCTGATGTGGGACTCGATCCCGGGACTCCAGGATCATGACCTGAGCCGAAGGCAGTCGCTTAACCAACTGAGCCACCCAGGCACCTCTGCATCTTTGTTTTAAAAGTGTTTACTATTATTGTTTTTAAAGGGGGAACATCGGCTGAAGTTTTGAAAGCAGAAGAATTTTCTGACTCTCAATTAAAAAATCCAATTGATTAGAGCAATAGCCATAATAGTTATCACTGCTTAAGCATTTATTGTATACAAGGCCCTGTGCCAAGCATTTTATATATCTCATCACTTAGTTTTCCCAAGAACTCTACACAATGGTGGCAGAGCTGGGGCTTGAACTCAGAACTGTCTGACTGCAAAGGCCCGGCTCTTAAATCACTGTCTTTCTGTGAGTGTGGGTGTTTCTCTGCAAGACACCAAATTTTGACCACTCTGAAACTCCCTGGAATGCCAGGGACCTTGAATGAATGGGGTTCCACTCTAAAGCCCATTTTTATTTGGGGGGGAGGGGATTCCATTTACTAAGGGCTCCTTGTGCCCCTAACAGCATAGAAGTGACACATTTTATTCCCTTACTAACTCTGAAGAGTATGCTCATCCCTTTCTTTGGTGGTTTGAGGCCTGTCTGGAAGGAGACATGTCACGAGTAGTCTCAAGGTCCCTGCACCGCTGTGGTGCTGTAAAAGGGACCGTCTGGTGCACAAGTCACGAGAGTGGCTGAGCACACAACTGATTTCTGGCCATCTGCTGCAGTCCAGTTTGTGTTTCCCTAGCAAATACCTACATGGGCTAATGAGTTACAAGACCCTGGTACGACCACCAGAATGGCTGTCTACATCGGAGCAGGGATCTCTGCTGGGCTGGCTCTCCTTCTTATCATTGGTGCTTTAATTCTCACATGTAAGTTGGTTCATGTTGCTTCTCTCTTTCTCTGATGAGGAACTGTTAACAAAGGAAACAACACAAACCTAGATATAAATATAAGCTTATATTTATACCTGAAGGTGATAAAACTGAATACTCTGTAGTCCTCCTGAAACTACCAATAGTAATAGCTATTTTTTACTTAACGTTTACCATGTAATATACAGGCATTGTGCCAAATGTTTTTACCTACATTTTATCATCACCGTCTTATGCAGTAGGTAGTATTTATAACTATTTTGTAATGTAGGAAGTAGAGCTACGAGAGAGTAAGCTGCTTTGCCAAGTTTTCAGAATCCCTAAGAGGCAAAGCTGGAATTCAAACCCAGGCAGGCTGATTCTAGCACCTAGTCTCTTACCTTTGGCAAGGAACACAAACCTCTTTAAGTAATGCATTAGGTTTATTAGGAAGCACAACAACAAACGTAGTTTCTTTCTGTGAATTTTCCTATCTTATTTGTTCCTTAGGCACAGGTCTTTAGAGAGAGATGACAAGTCCTTTTACCAATGGGTCATTGGCTGGGATTACAGCATTTGTGTTTTGCTTCATGGCACTCATGCACACATTGTTTTCTAAGTTATTTTTATTTAAAAAACCTTAAGGTATGGTTTATATACTCTTTTTTTTCTACATAATTTATTGTGAGGTGATCAATGTTAAATATTAATATTCATCTGTTTCAATTCATGTCTTCTTGACCAATTCTTCTTTTTTCCTTCCAATTGCATGCCTTTGAGGCAATGAATTTTAACCACGATAGTTTTGCACTTGAATATTCATCTGTACTACCTATATGCTCATTACATGCAGTTGTGGTCCTAGTGGTTTTATCAGAGCCATCCTGTGAACAGTTTCTGGAAAACATCAGGACAACCTTCATTCATCTTCACCTCATAGGCTCTATTGCACCTCGAAGAGCCCAGCAACTGGCCCGCAGACCCTGCCGCCCGGCCCGTGTGGCCGACGGTGCCCCACACCTGGTTTATATACTCTAACTGCATATTTAATGTATGTTCAACTTGATGAATTTCAGTAGAGAATCACACTTTGGGACCTATCACTACAATCAAGACCCAACTATTGCCATCGCCCCAGAAGCCTCACACACTGTTGTAATTGCGATATATTGTCTTCTCTTCAAGGGCAGAGGCCAAGGCCTTATACCACAGGGCTTAGTACATTCTAGCAGCCTTTCCTACTAATACTTAAACATGGATGGCATATCAGGTGACCAAACATCCCAGATTTTCCCAGGTATGACGGGGTTCCTAGGATGTGGGATTCCAGCGCTAAAACTGGGACAGTGCGGGGAAAACCAGGATGAATTGGTCACCCTAGTTGTGTGGCTTAAAGCTGCTGAGTGCTTTATGTGAATTAAATCCTCATAACTACCCTCCTGAGAAAGATACTAATATAATTCTAATTTACCAAATGGAGAACTAGCAGCTGTCCAAAGTCATATGGTTAATTGATAGATATGGAATCTGAAGACAAGATTCTCCTGTTCCTCCCCATTATGCTGTTCTGCCATTATCGGTAAATGGATTGTTCAAAGAAAGAAGCTACCCCATCCACACTTACCTCGGTTTACTGAGAGGTAGCAGGGGAGTTTGTGAATCGATCACATGAATGTAACGCCTACAGATTGATCAAGAGCAATAATAGCCCTCACTACCTCTCTGAGTTCTGCCATGGCCTGGATATTAGGGGCCATTCTAGTTCATGTAAAGAGGCTTGAAGTGAGGTTTCTTCTCAACGGGAGAAGTCTGACACTTTGTACCCACATCTGTATTACTCCAAAAACATGGCTACTTAGAAAAACAGATGGGAAAGTCCTGTTTGATTTGTGATCTTTTCCCTAGAAGTTGCTGGAGAAGATCTTAAAACCAAGGTGACAGGTGTTTAAGTCAGGACATCAAAGCCATTAATTGGCAGCAATACAACCAGCAATCCTGTATCTTTCTAGTGCGCTCTCTGCAATGAGCATCCACACCTCAGTACTACTCAAACCTCCCTCATTTCTCACTCAACCAATGAAGTATCAAAGACCTGTTCCTTCTCCTTTGCCTTAGCCAAGACTTCATTCCTCCTTTTACCCCTTTCTCTGGAATCATCTACCTCTCCCTTTCTATTTATTCTACTTTCATTAGCATAAAAATACGTTCTAACTCACACATTCCTCCTTAGCTACTCCCATTTCTCCGTTCTCCTTCACAGGCAAATCTCTCAGATGAGTTTTTCCTACTTCTTATCCCCTGAACTCTCCAACCCATCCTTTAGCTTCTACACCCGAAGCACCGAGGAAATAGTTTTAGTCAAGCTCACCGACGACCTCCGTTTTCTAAATCCAGTAGACACCTCTGTCTTCATTGTCGTCAATCTTTTAGCAATATTTAACCAAATCAATCCTCACTCATTCTATAAAGTCTTCCTTCTCTGGGCTTCTAGAACACCACTCTCCTACTTCATTGGCCATTTCTTTTCAGTCATTTTTGTTATTTCTTTTTCTGCTTGACCTTTAGATGTTGATATTCTTCAGGGCTGGCCCTTTCCCTTTCTTCTAAACCCTTTAGGTGATGATCTATATTTCCACAGGCTTACAGGTCATCCTTAATTTTCCTCTCCAACTCAGAGTGTTTGTATTGTTGATATCTCCACTTAGATGTCTCCCACATTTAACATGTCCAAAATGGAGGTCTAGAGTCCATATTCCACCTTCCCAGAACACAACTTCTGTCTCTCTGGTCTTCCCCATTATAGTGTTTTTCTACCATCCATCTGGTTGCTTAAGCCAGAAAGCCAGAGGACGTCCTTGAATCCTGTTTCCTCCTAACACAAAATCCAGTTTTAATTCCTGCAGACTTTCTCCAAAATACATGTAAAATCCATTTATTATTCTGCATCTCTCTTGGTCACCACCTTACTCTGATCTGAGGCATCATGATCTCTACTTACTTCTTCATTTTTTTTTTTTTATACCTCCTTTTAATCTTTTCCTCACATAGCAGCTAGGGTGATCTTAAAACCCAATCAGCTCTCATATTTCTGCTCTCCAATTATATCTTAAAGGTCTTGGAATAAAATCCAAAATCTTGATTATGACTTAAGGGGTCCTTTGAAGCTAGCCCCAGCCTAGCTCTCAGACCTTGTCTTGGGCCACTCTCTTATTTCAGTTTCAGGAACCCACCATCATCTTTATTAGGGGTTCCCTCTACCTGAATTCTCCCCCTGGCTCTTCACTTGGCTGACATATTCTCTTTGTTCAGAACTGAGCTTAAAATTCACCTCTTCGGAGAGATTTTGCCTGACTGCCTTCTCCATCATCTGTTCCAGTACATTGTTAGTTACACCATTAGAGATTATTATTTTAAATGCCTCCCTCACTAGAACACAAGTTTTAAGAAGTCAGGGCTCACAATTCACTTTTGCATCCCCAGTGCCTAGCATACTACCAGGCACATAGTAGATGTTCCATATATTTGCTGAATGTAAGAAATGCATCTTTATTACTTACTAGCATAATCCATGTAATAAGTCAAGACACACACTGGTAGTTTGATTTATTTCAATCCAAGGGGAGACCAGATTTCCCTAAACAATGCTTGCCTCCAGTGTGTTCATTTTATTTCTTATCTCATTTGTTTTATGAGAGCATTTTTAATCGACTTTTCTTCCACCTTTTACTTAGGGTATTCTTATAGAAAAGAGAAATTACAGAATTCAAGGTAAGAATAATGGGTGGGGTAGGGGAAGGTGGGAATCTTGGAGGCCCCTACTCTATGGCTTTGCTCTTAGAAGTCCTGCCCTAGGATTTAAACTTATACTTCATTCTTACCTTAGGCATGGATTAATGCAATACCAGTTAAACACACTGCTCTGTTTTCCTTTCTTATTTCTCTAGCTTCCTTGCCTAAAGTTACAGAATTCATCTCGCTATTGATAGGAAATGCTTTTATTGTATATTAATATATATATTTTTCCCAATGAATTGACCCTTCCAGTGATTGAGCTACATTCAGGCTCTTGTTGGGCACTGGGTTACAAAAGTGAGCAAGAAACCCAGAATCTACTCTTAGGGCTTTTATAGCTAAGCCCAGGCATTCTTAACTTACATGTCTATTAGAATCACCTAGGGCACTTGAACATATTGCTGCCAACCCCAGAGCAAATAAATCAGAATCTTTGGGGATGAGACCTAAGCATAGGTGTTTTTCTAAAAGTTTTCCAGGTAACTCTAGTGTGGGAACAGGGTTGAGATCTACAGGTCTATTATACTGCAGTCTTGGTATCCATTTTTGACTATATACACATGTATACGTATACACACATGCACACATGTCCATTCCAAATACACAAAGCTTAAATAACTTCTAGTAGAATTTAGTGATATTTGGTACATGGGTAGAATGCAGTAAAAAAAAATGACTCTGCCTATTGAATACTATCTAAACCACGAGTAATTATAGACAAAGTATAGATAGTGTATTTATGAAGACAAAATACAGTAAAAAAGTCCAATAAGGCCAAATAAAATATTTAATTTTCATTGGCTTTCAATCATCTGTACCAGGATTTGTTATTAGAGCTGAAACTTGAAACGTGATACTACCCATAGGTAATATTTACATGCATTAATTCATTATTTGGTTGAAATTATTTGGTTAATGTTCATCTCTATCTATATATGTAAGTTCCATAGAAAATTAGGGCATTATTGCCACATTAGCATCTATATCCCTTGATACAGCACATGATGCTTAGTAGGCACTTAAATATCTGATGATTGAGTGAATGAATATTCCTTATGGCAGCCCAGTGAAATAGAATGCTTATTATTCCCATTTTATAGACTAGGACACTGAGACACAAAGTTTACTAACATGCAGTCTTCATGGGATTTTCGTGTATTGTTCACTGAAGCATTTCTTGCTTCTTAGAACAATATGTAACACATTAAATATTTCTGGATTGAGTGAATGAAAAAAGAAACAATCAGCCACCCAATTTACCCAAGGTCATATGGCTGGTAAGAGACAGAATTCAAATTCAAGTCTGATTGGGTCCATTACATATTCATATTTTTTTTCTTTTTGAAATTGTTCAAGCCCACAGAACTGAAGTTACCGTACAAGGAACAATAGAACCTTTCAAGGAAACTCGTGATTTAACATTTTGATGTACTTGCTTGGTCTGTTTCTCTGTTTATATAAACAGTTTTTTTCCTGAACCATTTGTAAGGGCATTTCAGGCATCTTGACACTTCACCTCAACACCTCATTCTGTCCCTCCTTATAATACAATGCCATTTTTGTGCTTAAGAAAATGAAGATGAATTCAAATTTCCTCAATTGTTCCACACATTATTTTATTGATGTTTTATGGCCTTTTCCTCCTAGATAGGACCTGATCAAGGATTATGGGCTACATTTGGTTGTTGTCTCTTCAGCCAAGCTTGTTGTCTTAACTCTATTCTGTGCTGCCCAGGAGATGCTGAACTCAACTGCAACATTTCTTTCCACAGCCTCGTCACTTTGGCCAACCCCCCTCCCTTGGGGTTAACAAATACAGGAGCAGGAGGAATGCACTTGCAGGAAAACATCTATATCATTGAAGAGAACATATATGAAATGGAAGATCCATATGAATACTACTGCTATGTCAACAATGGGCAGCAATCCTGACAACCTAGAGGTTTAACTCTTTAAATGCCACCAGATCCCACTATGTCATTTTTGAGTGTGGTTTCATCTTTGGAAACTATGAAATGTGTCAGCTCATTGGTTTTAGAGACTCTGTCCATAGCCACCGAGCAGAGTTTTTACATTTTCTGAAGATAATTAGCTCCCACAGGGAGGGAACTGTGACCTGCACTGTAGTTAGGCACAACATTACTTCTGTGTTTCAGCCACCAGGGCTACCCAACTCAGAGACTGCTTAATAGGGGCATTAGAGCTCAAATGGGCTTTTATATAGAGTAGGAATTCTTAATATGCAGTCCCTGAAATGCTGGGAAATTCAGTCAGATGATGGATCCACAAAACTCCTGAAAATATAGGAAAAATTACATGCTGAGATACATCCATGTCTTTTTGGACAGAAAGTCAAAAGGGGCCGCTGATTTTCAAAGAGATCTGTGACCTATAAAAAGTTAAGCTACTGGAGGAGGAGGAGATGGTCTCGAATGTTCTCTCTGAGTCTCAAGACTTATGCTTCTCTGAATCTTGATTCTTTGATAGTAAGTACCACTGCAGAGCTCTCCTTTGCCAGTTAGGTAGACTGCCCACCAGTTCCTGTGGTATGGTAGGAGCTCCCAGAGAAAAAGGAAGTGTGCTCTGAGTGTGTTGTGCCAAGTTTTGTCTGGGGCGCACTCAACAGGAAATATCTCCCAGCAACTTCTCCATTCATGGAGAGAACTGGAACTCTGTTTTTCATAGAAGAAGAAGAAGAAGCAGTGACTGGGACACAAATTCTGGTGGAAAGAAGGCAAAGGCCTCCATCCAGCAATCTATATTTATCAGCATCAAGTCTTTGGCGGAAAGACTGTAGTCCCCAAGCTTCAATTTCAAGGTGGTGGCGACTCTGTTCATCTTCCTTATTTGTTGCCTGCCCAGTGCCTGACACAGCTCTTACACATCACAGAAATTTACTAAATAATCTTTGGAGTGAAAAAACATAAGAAATGTAGCTTTCTGCAGTCTTTTCCATTGCAGGGCTTAGATAGAGCTCTTCTCGGAGAACTCACAGATACTCCTAAGATCCCATATCTGCTCTTACCCAGTTGAAAGTGGTGTTTGTTTCTTAGCATCATCTCCAGCTCAGGCCTTTGGAGGTCTGTTACTCTCTTGTCTGTGTCCTCCTTTCTCTTCTCTCCTCTCCTCTCCTCTCCTCTCCTCTTCTCCTTTCCCCTCCCCTCCCCCCTCCCCTCTTCTTTTCTCTTCTTCTTTTCTCTTCCCTTCCCTTCTCTTCTTCTCTTCTCTTCTTCTTCTTCTTCTTCTTCTTCTTCTTCTTCTTCTCTTTTTTTGGAGAGGGGCAGAGGGAGAGGGAGAGAGAGAATCTTAAGCAGGCTCCATGCCTGGCATGGAGCCCCATGTGGGGCTCAATCTCACAACCCTGAGATCATGACCTGAGCTGAAATCAGGAGTCAGACACATAACTGACTGAGCCACCCAGGCACCCCAATATTCCTCTTTCTGCTGAACCTCCTTAGCACATAAAGAATCAACAATAAAGACCTGTTGCTGCCTTAAAACCGCCCCTCCCCAGGTAATAACTAAACAGCTACCATGCTCTAAGCAGAAAATGTTGGTCACCAAGGATGTAGGCAGGCTGTTTTCTTCTAAGAGTCTTTCTGGCAGTCTTGTGTGAGTCATAATGTTCAGGCTGCTTTTAGACAGTTTTAGGAAGTACTGGCTTTCTACAGAGAGATTTGGAAGGGAGATCATTTTGCAAAATTATAGGCAGTAGCTCTCATACAAGACTAAAAGTTAATCATAAGTATTTTTTTTTTAATAATTTTTTTATTGTTAACTAATCATAAGTATTTTAAAGTTATGAAATTCTAGAAGGAAGGGACTTCAGAACATATTGAGACCAGCTCAATGGTTTCCCCAGGAGAAAGAGATTCTTACCCAACAAAAATCTTTAAACAAGGGTAATGTATACAGGATGATCATTGCAATGGTGCTTGTAAGAGACTTTTTTCATCAACTGGGGAATAGTCGGTTATTGTGATGTCAGCATGCTGGTGCAGTTAAAAAGAATTAAGTGGTTTCCTCATTGAGGTGTTTTGTTAATTGAATGAATATTTAAGTGTCTACTGTATGCCAGGTACTCTGGTGCTGAGACCCTAGAGAGATACAAATAGACAGACATATCCCTGACCCCATAGAACTTGTATTTGATCTGATGTAAGGAGGTTTCATTCCATTCATTCAGTCAGTGAGCATTTATTGGCATCTACTTTGTGCTAGACACTGTTCTAGTCCCTAGAAATACAGCCATGAGGGAAATAGACAAAATTCCTACTCTCAGGGAGCTTATGTCACTTGTTTGAGGAGAACGCTATCTTGCTAACAAAAAAAAAAAGAAGGTTTTTTCTTTCACCTTAAAGAAATCTGGAAGAATATACCAAAATTAATACGGCAACCCCATAGGGGCAAATGGCCATGAGACAGACTTTTTCCTTTTATGTGCTTTTATAATTGTTTGAATTATTTTCTTTTGTAATAGAAAATGAGATTTCAGCATTAGAGTAATGTTTTCCTGTCTGCCTTCCTGACCATAGAAAGAAATGAAGACTCAGATAGTTAGATTCAAGATCAAGGCTGGCAGTAAGCCAGGACTGGAATCCCGGTTTTCAGAGTAGGATCTACTCTATGTCAATGATGTGGAAAGGGGAAGTTGGCAGAAAGGAGAAAGAACCCCTACAAGACTACTACAAAGAGCCCAGGAGAGAAGTGGTCACTTAATTAAAAACAGTCAAATAAGATTGAAAGTGTGGCTTGCTCTTAGAAGTTTAGGATTTTTCTTCCATAGGAGATCCATAGGATGAGAAGGGGGCTCCTGGATCTTTTGAGACTGAGAAACATGGTGAAACCATGTTTTATCTGCAAATCACTTCCTTCTAGATTTGGGATTCCTGAGACAGAAGTTCCAAGCAGTTCAATCCCTCCTTAGTTGATTTTTGGGTACCCCCTCATGCCTATACTCATTTAAACTTAATTTTCATTTAAATATAAATTTGAAAAATGAAGCTGAACACACTTTTGGCTCCAGTTTCTATTTAGAAAATCTGTATCCTTCTGGAGATCAGTATAGATAGATGCCCTAGAGCAGCAATTTTTGAGATTTTTCCACCATCCTTTTCTGGGACCTAGTTGGGAGGAGAGGAAAAGGGAAGGGGCAGCTGGATCATTTGGCTGAAAGGTTCTCAAGCTTGGCTCAGATTTTAGTCCATTTTCACTGGAAAATCTATGCCAAGAAGCAGTATGAATCAGAAATGTTTCAGGCTTGTAGATCCTCTGTGCCATTTCTTCAGTAATGGTGACCACAATTATAGAGATCATTCCAAGTCACTCATTTACTCATAGCAGTGATAATCTTTTGTGAATTCTTGCTCAAATTCCTTCTGCTTATGGTGTGACTCTCCTTTTCCAGAGAAAGCAGTGAGTTTTTTTTTTTTTAAATGATTATTTAAGCTATTCATGTGTGGTGGCAGTGGGACATCTGTTTAAAAGTGCACAATTATTTTAATGTAATTGTTTTGGGTGGGTCACCTTTGGAAAATATTTCATTATAGTTTTATATTCTATACCTGCAACCTGTTTCATGATAAGTTGATACATTGTCCTTTGTAATTTCTACATTTTGTGTTTGTACTTTTTCATTCATTTTAAACCCAGTTCATGTAAAATAGAAATATTTTATACTCCAATGCAGTGTTTACCTTCTTTTGATCAGCTCTGAAATATCCATAATCTATACATCTATATCTAATCTGTTTTAAATTTTACTTGCAGTTTCATTTGCCATTACTGATCAACTGCATGCTGAATTTAGTTCTTGTTCAGAAAACACTTCAGTAAAAAGTAGTATAAACATAGGGGAAGATTGTTTCCCACAGTTTTGTTATATTGTAACAAATAGACTATATACTCTAATATATATAGCTATATTATGATACAGACTTTTTGATTCATTTCTTTATCCCAAAGTTCACCACCATGTCTTAGCAAAAATATCTTGCCCTTAATATTGGTTGAATCTGACAGTTTAAAGTAGGGATCCAGGGGAAAGGAGCTTAAAAGCCTTCAGCTACCTGGGTCTCTGGAAGGTTCTTGGGGGGAGCGGTGCCTTCCATCATTCTCTCCAGCAACCCTCCGACTTCAACAATTCCTATTATGTAAACAGCAGCCAAATAGCTTCTGATCACCGTGGGAGAAAAGAGTTATCCAAACTTATGGAATCTCAGGTAAAAGCTAAGAAATATGATGCTATCCTAGTTCCCTTATTTTAAGCAAGTGTGTTTACAAGAGGCAGTTCGGGTGGGACAGCCGATTTGGAGCCTTATAATTGTTCGAATTATTTTCTTTTGTAATAGAAAATGAGATTTCAGCATTAGAGCAATGTTTTCCTGTCTGCCTTCCTGACCATAGAAAGACTAAGTAAGAATCTATGAAATGGAAGATACACATGTTAGATTGCTGTTTCCCTTATTATTGTTTTTTAACTTTTTATTTTGAAATACTTTAGGGTTTACAGAAAAATTGCAATGATAGTACAAAGTTCCTATATTCATTCACCAGTTTCCTCTAATGTTAACAGCTTATGTAACCATGGTACATTTGCCCAAACTAAGACATTAGCATTGCTATAATATTGTTAACTACAGACTCTGGAACTGTTATTGATTTTTAAAATTTTAAATTAAATGTTTTTTGATAAATATAACAGAGTTAGGTTAAAGGTCAGTGTCCCTATTCCCTGTCCTCCTTATCAAAATTTCTCCCCAATCCCACTCCCCAGGAATAATCAGTGTTATTGCTTCATTCTTTTCAGCCAGCACCATCTCGTAGAAATACAATGAAAGCCACATAGGTAATTTTAAAAACAATTCTACTAACCACATTTAAAAAAGTAAGAAGAAACAGGTGAAATTAATTTTTAATAGATTTTTTAACTC